CTGTATGTTTCTCTATGTCCACTGTAAGGCAGATATCACAGATAGCAGGCATTCCAGTTGTCTTTCTCATCTCCCTCTGTCTGTGTGTGCACATGGAACAACTCCATTGTGCTTCTGACTCACCTTTGAAGTCCTTTTTCTGAAGTGTCTCTAGACAGTTATGGTTTGTTGAATTCATTCATTCATATATTCTCCTTCCATGAATCCTGTCTAGAATACATTCTCGTGCGGATGTGGAGATCATCCTAGTTACAGTCACAACTATGAATTACAGTTGTCATCCAATATCATACACATTTGTAATAAAATACTGATGAACATATACAATATAATAAATAAGTTAATTTTAGTAATAAGAGCAATGGCAAACCTTATACAATTTGTACAACTTTATACAAGTCTGTTAATTAAAAATTCAATGACCGATAGAAGATGTGATGCCTTTACAGAACTGTACAAATTCAAAGAAGGTTTTAGTGGGTCCATATGGTGAGACATACCCACCAAGTCATGATGTAAACCAGGCCGTAAATATAAAAGCTGAGGAAGTCTCAGACTCACAAGAGGAAGTGGATCCTTTGATAATAACAGTTCAAGAGATAAAGGCTGAACCTGAGGTGAGCTGTATGTTTCTCTATGTCCACTGTAAGGCAGATATCACAGATAGCAGGCATTCCAGTTGGCTTTCTCATCTCCCTCTGTCTGTGTGTGCACATGGAACAACTCCATTGTGCTTCTGACTCACCTTTGAAGTCCTTTTTCTGAAGTGTCTCTAGACAGTTATGGTTTGTTGAATTCATTCATTTATATATTCTCCTTCCATGAATCCTGTCTAGAATACATTCTCGTGCGGATGTGGAGATCATCCTAGTTACAGTCACAACTATGAATTACAGTTGTCATCCAATATCATACACATTTGTAATAAAATACTGATGAACATACACAATATAATAAATAAGTTAATTTTAGTAATAAGAGCAATGGCAGACCTTATACAATTTGTACAGCTTTATACAAGTCTGTTAATTAAAAATTCAATGACCGATAGAAGATGTGATGCCTTTACAGAACTGTACACATTCAAAGACGGTTTTAGTGGGTCCATATGGTGGGACATACCCACCAAGTCATGATGTAAACCAGGCCGTGAATATAAAAGCTGAGGAAGTCTCAGACTCACAAGAGGAAGTGGATCCTTTGATAATAACATTTCAAGAAATAAAGGCTGAACCTGAGGTGAGCTGTATGTTTCTCTATGTCCACTGTAAGGCAGATATCACAGATAGGCAGGAATTCCAGATGTCTTTCTCATCTCCCTCTGCCTGTATGTGCACATGGAACAACA